AAAAGCAAAGCAGTGAAAAGATACATAAAACATTTCACAACTGAAACTGCCTTTTTAACTTCGTGTAGCTAAAGATGTTTTAAACTATTTTTGAACTTAATGCTTCACGTAATCACCAAAAAAAAAAAAAAAATTCACCACCTGGACCTCATGTACAACAAATCACAAAATCTCATATAGTACTTCCTATAATGGCAAGAATTCTTCTAAGCCCTTTACGTATATTCACTTACTTCATCCCTTCTGTAATCCCTGTTTTCCATGAGGAATAAAATGCAGAGAGCTAATAAGGTACTTTGCCCAAGGTCACTGACATTGCCGGTAAATGGCAGAGCTGGGATTGAAATCACTGGTACTACTGGGATTAGTGGTGATTACACTAACCACCTTCCCAAAGGAGTTTAAGACACATGATCCTTTTTTAACAGTTAAGTTTACTTAAAACTATACAAGTTCATTTTATAAGGTGAGAAAACTTACAATTAAAGAATTTAAACTAGAGAAACGTAAATTACTGTTAGGTGGTGGCAAAGCTCAAGTTATCAGTCATGGAAAATACCAACATAAGAAAGAAGTAGTAAGGGGTTAATTTTTGTGAGTTAAATATTTAGAGTCTGGTGAAATTAACAGAACTGGAGAAGTACAGGTAAGGTACTAATAGCCAAGAAACTCTGAAAGCTGGGAAGGCAATCATAGAGAACCCCAGGTCTATAGTACCTAACATCTGTCAACACTCCTGTCAATTTTTCCTCATCAAGGCAATTTTTCAGGCATGGTGCCTCCTGGCCATGTCACTGTTAATGCTTAAATTCAGGCCTTCACCATCTCTTGGTCCAGTTGTGCTAACAATCTCTTCCCCAGCTTCAGGTCACTATCTCCTCCCCTACCCCAACATCTAATTGTCCTGCTGCTAACGGAACAGTCTTTCTGAAACACCAACAGATTTGATCATGCTACTGCTTTATAAGTCTTCAATGAGTTTCCCAGGTGGCACTAGTGGTAAAGAACCCATCTGCCAATGCAGGAGATGCAAGAGAAGTGAGTTCAATCCCTGGATTGGGAAGATCCCCTGGCGGAGGGCATGGCAACCCACTCTGGTATTCATGCCTGGAGAATCCCATGGACAGAGGAGTCTGGTGGGCTACAGTCCATAGGGTCGCAAAGAGTCAGACACTGAAGCAACTGAGAATGCACACACAAGACTTCAGTGGTCCATATCACCAACAATTTCCAGTTCCACCACCTCTGTATAGAATCTATCACCCCAGGATTTCCTCTGCCTCTGCCAGGATTTCCTCTGCCTCTGTCTGCAGGCCCAGGAAAACACTAGGCTAAGTCATTCCTCTCTTACCCCGTTCATGTTACCCCTTTGATGAAAAAACCCTTCTTCCAACCCCATTCATCAACCTGCAGGACCTCACTCTATTCATCTCTTTTACCATAAAGTTGCCAATCCCACTTTCTACCACGAGAAGAGATAATTTTCTCCTTTGGGTCCTCAGTATACCCACATGGGCATTGATTTCATTATACTCTCATGATTTTTTGCACACCTGATTCCCCTACAGTGATATAAGACCCTTAATAGAGAAAGTGTCTTGTCATTTTATCAACAGCACCTAACAGTTCCTGACTCACAGCAGGAGCTTTATTCATTACTAATAAATAAACATATACTTTCCACAGACCATTATAGCCTCTCTCGGCAGAAGTTTTCAGTTCAGTCTGTTGGTTCCCTGCAGCCCCATGAGAACACAGTTCCCAGTATTTTTAATGGAAGACATTCTAGAAAGATATGATCTACTCTACAGTCAACATTTCAGAACACCTCCACACTGAAGAATAGATGTTGAACAGTAGAGTTCACAAAGAATGGTCCATAGAACCAAACACGCAGGTTCTCAATAGGGCAGGAGATTCCAGGCTTAAACAAATTCAGAAAATGCCTCATGATATTGCCTTCTATGAAGAGTTAAATCACACTATCATAGTAAAGTTCCATTAAAGTCCTAAGAAGTTGGTTAACTTTGGATTTGCTAACTTTGAATAGGTAAGTGAACCCTACCTTGTCTCCATTTTCTCATCTATTAAATGGAAATAACAATCTCTACCTTCATATGGTCACCGTAGGGACTGGATGAGATAATAAATATCTAAAGCTCAGATCACTACTTGGCACATAGTGAGTGTTCAATAAATTTAAGCAATCTTTAATATTTAAACTTTTTCTAAACTACAGTCTGTTTTCTCATCAACCCATTACTAACGCTACACACTTGATACAGAACTACTCTACAACATATTAGTCATTTTGGAGAGTCACAGCTCCAGACTTTAGGAGAAATAGGCAATCTGATAGTTAAAATGTAGGACAATTCACCCTGGCTTCTCTGTGGCTGACAAACATTAAAGTTCACATTGTCACAACGTGCTGAGGCTTTGGTTCTCCAAAGTAAGACAGGAAAGAGTACACTGGGTGAACTCAAGGAAAACTACTCTGCAATGGAAAGAAGTTTCTTATATATAAATCTCATTATCCTTTCATTCCTAGAAAGCAGTATATTCATCAAGTTTCTATTTTCACTGCCAAGGAATCTTGCTATTTAAGAGTAAGACAAATAATCCACACAGTCCTTTTTTTTTTTCAATTAATAAATCAAAAGATTTATACTGGGCTTAAAGTACTTAAAGTAGATGATTCTCAATTCCATCTTCCTTAAGTAAAAAACTGCAGTAGCTCATGTGTGAGCATCTGTATGCATTTTCCTAGGTAACATAGGAACCACTGAGTTGTTTTTTTCAAACCATTTTTATAAAACTGAAGTATAGTTAATTTACCATGCTGTTTCAAGCATAAAGTGAATCAGTTATATATATACATAATTGAATATATATATTATTTTTCACATTCTTTTCCATTATAGGTCTAAGATATTGAATATAGTTCTCAATGCTACACAGTACATCTATGTTGTTTACCTATTTTATATATATTAATATATATGCTCAGTCACATCCAAGTCTTTGTGACCCCATGGATTATAGCTCACCAGGCTCCTCTGTCCATAGAATTTCCAGGCAAGAATATTAGAGTGGGTTGCCGTTTCCTTCCTACTTCAGAGGAGCTTCCTGATCCAGGGATCAAATCCATGTCTCCAGCATTCCTGCTTTTGCAGGTGGATTCTTTACCACTGAGCCATCTGGGAAGCCCATTTTATATATAATAATGTGTATATGTTAATCCTAAACTCCTACTTTATCTCCTCCCAACTGTTAGCCCCTTTGGTAACCATAAGCTTGTTTTCTATGTCTGTGAATCTATTTCTGTTTTATAAATAAGGTTGATCTTGTATCATTTTTTAAGAGTCTATATAAGTGATATAATATTTGAGTTTTTTGAAAAATTAGGCCTATGTATTATTTAGATATCAAAAATCAAACAGTAGCAAAGGGTATATACAATGAACAGTAAATCTCTCTCCCAACCCTAATCCTTATCCAGAGCCAACCACTGTTATCAGTTTTTTACATCCTTCCGAAGACAGCTTATATATGTGTGTATAAGTACATACAGTAATATTATACCATCTCTCCATTTTTACAGAGATAATAGTATATGATATATACTATATTGAAACTAGTTTTTTTCATTTGGCAGTTTATCTTAAAGCTCTATCTATATCAATACATAGATATAGATATTTGGTTAATGGGCATACCAAAATTTAAAGCAACCCTATAATAAGATACTTGGCTTCCCAGGTGGCGCTAGTGGTAAAGAATTCGCCTGCCAACACAGGAGATACAAGAGACTCGGGTTCAGTCCCTGGGTCAGGAAGATCCCCTGGAGAAGGAAATGGCAACCCACTCCAGCATTCTTGCCTGAGAAACCCCATGGACAAAGGAGCCAGGTGGGTACAGTACATGGGGCTGCAAAGCGTTGGACGTGACTGAGGGACTGAGCACAAGATGAATGCTTAGGTTGTTACCAGTGTCTTGTAACAAAGGTCAAAGCTATTGTTTTTCCAATAGTCATGTATGGATGTGACAGTTGGACCATAAAAAAGGCTGGGCACCATAGAATTGATGCTTTTGAACTGCGGTGCTGGAGAAGACTCTTGAGAGAGTCCCTTGGACAGCAAGATCAAATCACTTAATCTTAAAGGAAATCAACCCTTTATATTCACTGGAAGGACTGATGCTGAAGTTGAAGCTCCAATACTTTTGGCCACCTGTTCGAAGAGCCGACTCATTAGGAAAGATCCTGATGTTGGGAAAGACTGAAGGCAGGAGGAGAAGGGGACGATGGAGGACGAGATGGTTGGATGGCATCACCAACTCAAAGGACATGAGTTTGAGCAAACTCCGGGAGATGGTGAAGGACCAGGAAGCCTGCCATGCTGCGGTCCATGGGATTACGAAGAGTTGAGGGACTGAACAACAACCAGTGTCTTAGAAAGATTGCTGAAAATAAACATCCTTGAATATATATTTTTAGGCAAGAAATGAAGCAGGGAATTGCTAAACACTACTAAATTGCCCTCCAAAGGTTACCCATTTTATTCTCAAGAATACTTATTTCTTACACCCTCAATAAAAAAAGATTTTCAGATTTTCCCTTTTTTAAATCTGACAGGTAAAAAAAATGATAACAAATGCTTTTAATTTATTTTGAATGAAAGAACCCCTGATTTAAGATGAGTCATACTTATGATGACTTAGTCATGGAAACAAAAAGCACCGTCAAAACTGGAACAATAATGGGAATTCAGTTAAGGTTTGCTTCAAGTTGATGGCTTTAAGGGATGGTAGTCTGCAGACAAAGGAATTAAAAGGCTTCACCACATGGGTTTTTTAATTATGTTGCCAAATTGGAATATGTCTGAAGAAATGACTGGGGAAAAAAGGCACTTTGCAATCTGTAAGAAATTACGGAAGTGTTCAAGGAGACCATGACCCACTACTAGCAGAAGCCGGGTGGACCCCTAGATTCAACTCACCATCAAGTAGCCAGTGCTCGCCGCGCCTATTCTCCAGCTCCAACAGCATGAGGCGTGTGATCACATGATCGGGAACCAGAAGGCCTTTCTCTATGTATTGCTTTGCCATACCACCAACTTCTATCAAAAAACAGGAAAAAGAGACATTCAAAAAAAGCTTCTGGGAGAAAACAAAATGCTTACCAACTCTCTCCTGACAGTTTTGCTTTTCCTTCCATTCCTGCCTGATGTCCTGGGGGGAAAGGTTTTTAAAGAGTGATATTTTTAAAATTGGCTTCAATAATGGTGACACTGTCTCCCAGTTGTCTGCCAAAGAATTAGAAGAGCATCTCTTGAAGATATACACAGACAGAAATAAAAATGAAAGGAAATATAAATTAGGGCAAAGAGAAGATCAGAGCAGGAAATAAAGCTGGAGTCTAGAGGGAGAGCGGCACCCAATAAGGCCAGGAAAGGAGTGAAGTCCGCTCTCTTGTGAGCGGTGAGCCACACGCTGGACCCAAGCCTCCCACCAGTTTCCGGTAACAAGGAAACAGGATCGACCTCACAATTCACGGTACAGGAAGACTAAAGGAAGCTGAGAGAGTCAAGCATTCCTCAGAAACCAAAGAGGAAAATTTCCACTACTCTTCTAGAAAAAGTGCTGGATGATACAAACACAATGGGTTTCTTTCTTTTCATGAGCCTCAGTTAAGCAGATGGCACCTTGCTGACGCAGTTGTAGAAGCAACTCAGTGTTTTTAGAGGAATGCCAAGTTCAAGAAAAGACGTGAATTTCCATTTTTTTTCCAAGAAAAAAATGCTTCTATCATAATTTAAAATAACACTTTGTTATACATGGCAATTGTCAGTTGGGTTCAGGAGAACATCTGTTAAATTTCTAGGAATTGAATTTTTTTTTTTAATCCAGATGAAGTCCTCAGCTCTCTAGCAATCTGATAATGAACCATTAGAAACGCATTCTTGACAGGCCAATTAAGTTCTTATAAAAACACAGAGCAGAATTATATTACTGGGGGAAAAAAGGTTAAAAATCATACAACCTTCTGCTTGTATTTAATAAGGTAGAGACCTTCCTTTCCCAGACTGAATCTATACTGCCAACTTCATCTTCCACACTGAAACATGGGCTGTGAAGAGTTCCCTATCAACTCAATTGCTACCAGTGGACAAAGAGCCCAATGTTAGGCCCAATGATATGGATTCAGAAATGCACTGCAAGAAAAAGAACATATGAGTGGCTAAATATGAATGTGAACAAAACACATTCATTCAATAAGGATTTATTGACTGCATACTACTTAACAGGTAATAGTCTACAAATGTAGCAGTGACTGAAAGTTGCAGCTTACCAATATTTAAGCAGTATGACTTTACCTGAGAGCAACAATAAGAATCTTTAACTGGGAGTACAAACTAGCAGGTGTTGTGCTTTAAACATTTTATTTGGTTATTTCATTGATTCTTCATAAGATCCTCACCTTCAGACAGGAAGGTAAAACTTGTATTTTTTTAGGACAGCTTTACTGAGATACAAGTCACACACCATAACATTACTACAAGTCACCATTTTAAAGTGTGCAATTGAGTGGCTTTTAATACCTTCCCCATGTTGTGCAATTTCAGAACATTTATATTACCCCAGGAAGAAACCCCATACCCACTAGCGGTCACTCTCCCATTCCCTTCCTCCCTCTAGGTACTGGCAACTACTATCTACTTTTGGTCTTTATAGTTTTCCTATACTGCACATTTCACATAAATGGAAGTATGCACAGTGTAGTTTTTTTGTGTCTGGTTCCTTTACTTGGCATGTTTTCAAGGTTCATCCATGTTGTACCATAACAGTACTTCATTTTCAAGGCTGAATATTATGATTCTATTCTATGGGCATATCACATGTTGTTTATATATACATCAGTTACCAGGCATTGGGGTTGTTTTTACTTTGGGGCTATTTTGAATAATGCTGCAACATACATTCACGTGCAAGTTTCTGTGTGAATATACGCTTTCAGTTTTCTTGGGTAATACCTGTAAGAAACATGTTTACATCTGAAAAATCACTGTCAGACAGAATGCTCAGAGCAACTGAAAAGCTTACTCTGTGATGGTCAGGCCAGTCCCAGAGTCCTGTTCTCAGTCTCATCCACCAAACATTAAGGTACAAGAAAACAACAAATATACATCTTCCAAGGTGAGAGACCAAGATGTGAACTGGTTTGAAACATCCCATAAGAAAACGGTTAATGAGGAAGAATTATCTTGTACAGAAAAGAGAAGACCCAGAGAAGGACATGATAACAACTGACCCATAACCTGATTCCGGACAGATGGAAAAGGCATTTATTTAATCCCCAGGGCTTAGAATTAGTACTAGTGGGAATTGCAAATGGACAGGAAAAGTCGCCTGAGGAAATATTTGAATGGAGACTCAGAGAAGGGATATTATAGAGGGATTTTGATATAGAGGGATTGGGCTTAATTCATGTTTCAGGTCCCTACAGATGGAAGAGTTATGGTACTGCGGTACATTTGAATTCGGTAATTTAATGAAGAACAGTGTCCAAAATGATACCTCTAAGACCCTCTGGTTATCTCCTACATGGCTCAAAATGTACCTCCGCTGACACCTCAAACTTAATCCTGTCCAAAATCACATTACTCTCCCACTCTGTTCTTGTCTTGGATGCTTCCTGCCTCATCAGGAACAGAGTCCTCCCCTATTAACAGATTCCCTGGATTCAATTATCCAAAGTCAATCATGGTCTGAAAAATATTGAATGGAAAATTCCAGAAATAAGCAACTGATAAGTTTTAAATTGGGCACCATTCTGAGCAGAACGATGACATCTCTTGCCATTCTGCTCCATCCTGCCTGGGATGCAAATCATCCCTTCATCTACAGTATCCCACCTGTTAGTCACTTAGTAGCTATCTTGGTACATACTTTTGTGCAGTGACCTTATTTTACATAATAATAACCCAAAGTGCAAGAACAGTGATGCTGGCCATTCAGATATGCCAAAGAGAAACCATAAACAGAGCTTCTTTTAAGTAAAAAGGTAGAAGTTCAACTTAAGGAGGAAAGAAAAATATTGTATGCTGAGGCTGCTAAGGTCCATGGTAAGAGCAAATCTATCCATGAAGTTGTGAAGAAGAAAAAGGAAATTCATGCTCAGTTTTGCTGCTGCACCTCAAACTTCAGAAGTAATGAACACAGTGCAGAAGGGCTTAGTTAAGATGAAAAAAGCACTAAATCTGAGGGGCCACATTCACCTAACTTTTACTAGAGTATGTTGTTATCACTGTTCTATCTTATTCAGTTCAGTTGCTCAGTCGTGTCCGACTCTTTACGACTCCATGGACTGCAGCACATCAGGCCTCCCTGTCCATCACCAACTCCCGGAGCTTCCTCAAACTCATGTCCATCGAGTCGGTGATGCCATCCAATCATCTAATTGTCATCCCCTTCTCCTCTTGCCTTCAATCTTTGCCAACATCAGGATCTTTTCTAACAAGTCAGTTCTTCACATTAGGTGGCCAAAGTATTGGAGTTCCAATTTCAGCATCAGTCCTTCCAACGAATATTCAGGACTGATTTCCTTTAGGATTGACTGGTTTGATATCTTATTATTAGTTATTGCTGTTAATCTCCTACTGTGCCTAATTTATTAATTACCATTAAATTACTTTATCAAAATTACTTTACCCTAGGTATGTATGTATGTATAGGGAAAAAACATAGTTTCTATAGTGTTCAGTACTTTGGTTTCAGGCATCAAATGGGGATCCTGGAATGCATTCCCCACAGACAGGGGGGGCACTACTGTACTCTCCTCAGATATCATCTAAGATTAGGCACCACTTGTCTTGATTTTCTTGATTTCTCTTGTTGTTGTTGGTTTTTTAAAAATATTTATTTATTTGGCTCTGCCAGATAGTGGGATCTAGTTCCCTGACCAGGGCTTGAACCTGGGCTCCCTGCATGGGGAGTGTGGAGTCGGTCGCTGGACTACCAAGGCAGTTCCTCTCCCATTCTCTACACCTAGCTGAACACAGAAATCTTAATATTATACTTCCACATGTCTCTCATACCCAGGACAATCGATCAAAACGTAACAGCACCACAGTAACTGCTGAACAAACTAGAACAAGTTGTGGTCCTGCAGAATCGTCTGTGCCACTGTGAAACACACTGAAGGCCCTGGGCTGCCCTGGTGGTTAACAAGAGCTCGCAGCTTATCACAAAGTGGAGGAAAAGGAAGGAAGCAGTGAGACAAACTCCACAGCCTAAGTTAGAAATCTTTATAAAGTGAAGAGGAGAGAACTGATAAAGGATCCCATAGCTAAGATCAAAGCGAGTCCTTTACCCATACTAATGCTTGACTGGCTACAAAACAAGAGTGCTTTTGGGTTCTTGCACATATGAGTCAATCAAAAGAATAATTAGACTACCTAAGCAGCCAATTCTCAATTCTTTGCTCACTTGACTTCTCAGCAGCATGTGATGTGACTTCTGTGCATAAATACAGAGTGACCCCTTTAAAGCCCATTATGCCCCTCCTATGACTTCCCATCTCATTGAGAGTATAAGCCAAGTCCTCCCCTTGGTCTTCAAGTTCTCTGACCCCATCTCCCACTTCTCTCTTCACTACCCATCCTAGTCCAGATGGACACAACAGTCCACAACAGTCTCCTTGCACTCTCCTGAAGATCACAAGCATGTATCCACTGCAGGACCCCTGCATTTGTTCTTCCCTCTGCCAGGAAGACTCCCCCAGAATTTCAAAAGGTCAAGTCCTCTCAGCATTCAGGTCTCTGAGTATCACCTCAGAGAGGCCTCCCACCCTATCCAAACAGCACAAGCACAGACACACAAGTCCCAATCCCCCTCTACTCTCTTATCCTACTGTGCATTCTTTTCCAAAACTACAGGCTTTCCATATTATATACTGATATATCAGTGAATTCACTTTCTGCCACCCCCCAGACTAGAATATAATTAGCTCATTGGGAAAAATAATAATACTTTGCTCACTGCCATGTCCTGAGTGCTTACAATATGGTCTCGCATGCATAGAAACTCCATTAAAATTTGTTGCATGAATGAATGAATA